TATTTTTAAATACTTTTATATGCAGAATAATAAAAGAAATCATACTATGTAAAAAAATTATATAATTCCATATAAAAGAATGACAATACCTTTTGTATGACTTTGAAAAATTGATTTTTTTTGAAAATTATTTTTACCATTATTTGTTCCCCTTCAGACCGTACAACTTTATTTGAAACATTTTTCCGCATTTTTTACTATTTGATATATTTCTCAATGCAAAAGTTAAAATGCATACGTAACTTAAGGTAATTTACAGATTTTCAAGCTTTGATGAAGAAAGGATGAGAGCTTATAGGTAACATCAAAACATATTTTTATAAAAATAAAGAGAAATCGTGGCTCAACAAAGTGATAAAATCAACCGGGTTTTCCTGTTTAAAATGTGAAAAAAATACATTTTCCGGATACTAGGACGACTTTAACTACGATTTTCGAAATTATCAAGTGAAATTGAGTAAGAAAAAAATGAACCCAACGTTTCCCACGGGCTTCCCAAATCGTTTAAAATACATGAACTTTTTTATTCAGATTTGAAAAATTTTTTAATTTAACTCTTTGAATAAAGAATTGAAAAACAGTTTGTCTGTGATTATCAATGTATAATTCAATTTAAGATTTTAATATACAATATATTAGGAGTTTAAAAGATTTATGTATAAAATAGTAATTAATACATTTTTTATATACATTCCTTACGTATTTGAAATCGTGTAAATTTATTATATATTATGTATTATATATTATTATTTATATATTTATTCCTAATAGTTTCGAGATTTTTTATTTATAATTCAATTTTTGATAATGTTTATTTTAAATTAATATAAGAGATCATGTTTTTGTTTGAGCTTTTGCGAAGTTTTATTAGAAGATTGTTCAATATAAAGCCGCACTATCGGGAGAAGATATAATTTACATCAATTTTTATCATTAGATGCGTCATATTTTTCTACAATATATTAGCTATTGATTTCTAAGCATTATTTATATGTATTATGGCCTATTTATTATTCTTGTAATCGATTGAAGTGTGTAAAGAACATTATAGTTGTTTATATTGTTCTGTTTTTATAATTATAATTAAATTTTGTATTATTTATTTATTAATAGTATTCTTTAATTTAAATATTACATAAGAAACGGCAATGGTTTAATAAAATATTAATAAAGAAACATATAAAACCTTTATATTTTACATATGTAAGTACCTTTTTATTTTACGAAAGTAAATAATAATAATAATATTTAATGAATATTATTAAAACTATGTTTTTATTAATTAAAAATGTCCAAACAAAAGAAAAAAACCCTATTTTAGATATGTAAAAATAAAAATAATTGTCATTTTTGGCAACTTAAAATAAATTGATTAAAAAATATGTCTAATAAAATATGGCCAGAAATTGCAGTAGATGCAAATGTGTGCATTAGGCGTGAACATAATTTTAAATAAGACCAAAGTGAATATTTTGTATTTGAAGTAAATCCGACACGCTTATTGCAGATTGGGAAATTGCCCATCATTTGGTAGTTCCATGACACAAACAGAACTTCTGCAAGAATTGGCGAACGAATGCCGTTACGATAAGATGGTCAGGCCGCCTGGAGTGATTAATGAGACGGATCCGATCAGAATTTACACCAGAGCTTTTATCTACACGATAAAATCCAACATGGCCAAAACTCTGGTACCTCCACAATTTTTCTTATACCTAGCTATGTCTTACAGGTAACGCATAGTACATAAGCGTCGCCGAGGAGCGCTAATAGAAAAGGAATAAACGATATATTGCAGCAATTTGACGTGCACCTAATGCTGCAGTTTCGATATCTGGATAAACGGCTTAAATTCACGGACATAGCTCCTTATTTGAGTCAAATATACGGCGGTCAGAACGCCCATGCGCTGATTTGGACGCCTACCGTATACGTCGCCAACGAGCGTACCTCGGCGGTAATGGGAAATGGCGTCAAAGACCTGCTCATCTCTATCAGCTCTTCCGGCATGGTCATGTTGAACACTAGGTATTCGATATTTAATCTTGAAGAATCGTGCGGTAAGAGATGCACCTGGACGAATTTTTGTTTCAATTTTCCTCATATTTTACTTTGTGTACCAATTTTTAAAATGATTGGCCAACAACAGACCGATTACGCGTATTTGCTTAAAGAACCTTGTAAATATAGGGAAAATTGGGCCGGTAAAAGTGAGTTAATTAAATAAGTTGATTTTCATATATAATGTATACTGTATAGTATATATAATCTGGTAAACGAAAGATGTCATTGACACTAGGGCTCATTAATGAATAGTTTTTGAGCTGTGTTGTATCAAAGATGTAAAACTTGTGCTTTGCAATGTAGAACTAGCAAAGCTTTATCTATTATGTTGTGAAAATCTTTTGAAATATCTCATTCAATTAATTTGAAAAAAATGTATGGTAAACTTAGAAAAAGAACAGTGTTTTCGATAATTAAGAGATTCAAAATAATCATTTTCTGTATTAATATTGATTCTTTTTGAAATTGAAAATTGAAAATTAATTGAAAAATAATGGGATTTAATGAGATATTTCGGAGGATGTTCAAAATTTAATAGATAAAGCTTTTCTAATTGTACATATTGCAGAACATACTCTCTTTTTGGAGTGAAATTTCACTTTAAGGAGTGAAAATACTGCCACTCAAGTGGCCGAGTGACAGTATTTTCGCTCTTTTGGAGTGAGATTTCACTCTAGAAAATTTAGAGAGTAAGTTTTACATTTTGATACATAACTCAAAAACTATCCCTTATTGATCCTGATATCCATTGATAACTTCCGCTTTCTAGATTATAAGCTACATCATATGCAAACATTAACTCATTTCATCAAGACCCAATTTTGCATATACATATAATTAATGCGGGCTTCTTTCAGATTGGAAACCACTCTCAACTGCGGCCTTCGATTAGAGAAGTTTCCATTTGACGTACAAGAGTGTCCGCTGGTATTCGAAAGTTGTAAGTTATCCTATTATTATCGTATTGCTGGCATAACAAATGCAGCACTTTTTTTTACTAGCGACTAATGCCAATATATTATATTATTATAATAATATTACATATAATTATTATAATTATATACAATTATTATAATAATAATAGTTATTATAATACAGTTATTATAATAATATGCCAATATTAAATAAAAAACATCTATTTCAAAGCGCTAGTAGACCAGTTTATTTTCTTCTTCGCTAATTAAATAAATCATTCAGATTAAAACATTCCAATTTTAACTCTTTTAATACTTCAATTTTAAACTTTTCAGGGCCTTTTTAAACGCATGTTGATTATTAGTAAAAATATCAATTTTAATACTGTGCAATATGTATATTATTAAATATTAACATTAAAATCACGACTATATCATTTTTGATACCTATCTGATATTTCTTTCTTTTTTATTGTCGTTAGCTATGGCCATGCATAGTTCGAATTGGTACTAATAAGAATGTATAATTTAGTTACCACTTTGTCTATTTTTTATCCAAAAATTACAAAAGAATAATTGGAGTGAGATTTCACTCTAGAAAATTTAGAGAGTAAGTTTTACATTTTGATACATAACTCAAAAACTATCCCTTATTGATCCTGATATCCATTGATAACTTCCGCTTTCTAGATTATAAGCTACATCATATGCAAACATTAACTCATTTCAGAGAAATCTCACTCCAAATTACAAAAGAATGGATCATATGTGACCCATTCACGGTTCTAATGTTAAGATTCAGCTCAGCTTTACCACATACGAAAGAATGATTTTGCTGAAAGCCTTCCTAATTAATAAGATACAGATCGGAAAATAATTTTGTCAAACCATTGAAATAATAATATTGGAAATTCAATATTGATGAGTAATGGAACAGTATTCAGTTAAATTTTAAATCTTTCAACAAAATCGTTTTTTTCGTGCAAGTAAAACATTTTCCTATTTATTTATGTTATTCGCATATCGGTCTGGTTACTTATTATTAATAGTTATTAATATAATAATAATTATAATAATAATTATTATAATTATTATAATTATTATAATAATTATTATATACAATAATTATATATTTAATTCTATTATTTATAATATTGTTATCTAAATAATCTATAGTTATTGAATCTTAAATAAATTATTTTTATATATTATATCTTAAAAGGTTATTAAAATATATATTCTATATTTTTTTGGTATATTTATTATACTTATTAGTATAGTTATTCTATAAGTATAAAATAAATTTCATATTGTAACTTATGAGTATGATAGTTAATAAAAATTGTCAATGAAAATGATAAAAAAATCAAAACGCGAAAATGTTAAACAATAAAAATAAAAACAAACATAAGCGTTAAAAGTATAAAGCAAAAAACAAATTTTTCGTTTTAAAGGGACTCACAATGTGAACGAAATGGTGCTAGACTGGGATGAAGATCCGATTGTCATCGCGGATAATTTATATCTGACGGAGTATAAACTCGAGGATACGTGGGTTAATCGATCCGGGGTGTCTTATACACCATCGCAACATCATTATGGGCATTTTGGTAAAATTCAATCGATTTATGCTCGATCTAATAAAGAAATGAAAACGCATCGAAAGTGATTGTCACTAAAATTATGGCATAATAATTGCAGCCGGCAATTTCAGCTCGATAAATATTACGTTTAAATTAGCCCGTGAAATGGGATTCTTCATGATGGATTATTATGTGCCGTCTATATTGATTGTGGTGATTTCATGGGTATCTTTTTGGTTACACATGGATGCGGGTGCACCGCGAATAGTTTTAGGTAAAATATATTTTTGCATATTCTTGTTAACATTAAATAACAATACCTGTAACATTTACATGAAATTTATGCTTTCAGGAACAAATACTATTTTAGCATTTATGACACTTGCATCGAAAGTCGAAAATTCATTGCCGAAGGTCTCTTATATAAAAGCGAGCGAAATTTGGTTTTTAGGCTGCACAGTATTTCTGTTCGCGGCAATGGTTGAGTTTGCCTTTGTCAATACCATATACAGGAGGAAGTATGCAATATTTTTATTGAAATTTTAATGCCTACAGCTACGTTTGTCATTCGATATAAATTATTTACGATAATGTATTATATTTATACAGAAAGAACGTACCGTTGAAAAAGGTCAATAGCAAGTACATTCTCAAGTCAACCCTAACGCCACGATTAGCAAGAAAACAATTTCAGAAGAATACAACCGGTTTAGAACGATCGCGATCATGGTCGTCGTTAGACAATGCAAATACGAACAATGAGCAAGATTTCACAAGTCAGAATTATCTCACTGTACACGTGAGTCGCCAATTAAATAATTGTCAATCATATTTGTATAACATCATAAATTATATTGAAAAATATTCTCTTTAAAAAGAAATGTTTAGCTTTATTTTAGACAAAGATTCTCATGTTCTAGTAATCTCAAACAAAATCATTTTCACATTTATCACGCAATATCCTTGTAGCTGAGAAAACTGTGTGATTATATATGTCATATATGTAGAATGACAAGAAAATGTATCGAGATTCTATACATATACTCCAATCACTTTTATATAAAAACAAGTTTATATAAACTTATGTAAACATTTTTATATAAAAACAAGTTTTATATAAAAGTTTTAACGAAAGGAAAAATATATTAAATAAATTTTTTATAGCATTAATTTTATAAAATATGTCGTATATTATTAGTATTTTAAAAAAATAAAACCATAATATATTTTTTACACAATTCCATTTCTCGATATTAAGATAAAATCGAGAAAATTGATTTTTTAATAAGCTGTACATTATTAAACACAATATACAGGATAAGGCATTTAAAACAGGCTATCTGAATAATTTCTGAATGGTTAGAGATATTGGATTGAATTTATAGGATTATAATGGCATGAAATCTATTATTTAACCTTAAAAACATCCATTTCAATCCTCCAGGGCGACAAGGGGGAAGGGGGTTAAAAATCTTAAATGGCTTGTGGAATCGAGTGAGGTATCGTTTGAAAGGATTTTTCGAGACGAGAAAAACAAGGTCTCTATTTTTCACACACATGCACTTCTATCTTCAGGAACATACGTGAAGCCATATCTTTCTCACGTCCTCGCCGCGCGGGCCTCGATTGTTAGCGCTAAATAACATCAATGTTTAAAAATAAGCATAACTCTGTGGAAAAAATTGTAGAGACCTCAACAATCTCGCGTTTTTCTCGTCTTGAAAAGCCCTTTCAAACGATACCTCACTCGATTCCACAAGCCATTTAAGATTTTTAACTTCCTTAATTTGAGCCCTTACTCGACTTTCATGCCATTTAAGATTTTCAACCCCTCTTCCCCCGTCCCTTTGGAGGATTGAAGTGGATGTTTTCAAGGTTAAATAATAGATTTCATGATGCTATTATAACCCTATAAATTTCAATCCAATATCTCGGACTATTCAGAAATTATTCAGGTGACCTGTTTTAGTGCTTCACCCTGTATAGTAATGAAATAAATCGATTAATGGAACATACGAGTATAACAGCATTCCAGGAAAAGTACGAAAAGTACGCAGTTTGCAATGTGCAACAATAATATATTTAAAAAATGCTTTATTATCTACACATTTTTTTTAAGTTTAGTTTTGTAAAAAAAGTTTTTGTCCAATAATTTATCTAAAAAATTATTAATATCGATTTTTGCTGAGAATGAATTAATTCCAAATCGATCAAAAAATTTGTCATTAAATAATGTGTAAGAATTGTAAATAATAAAGTTTGAAATTTAGAATGTATAAAAATACTGTCTAAATATTGAATTTAGATGATGATACAAGAAAATATTCCAATGAATTGCTACAAGAGATTCCAAGAATAAAACATTCTTGGAGATTTCTATGGTTGAATACAACTACATAATATTGAATAATTAAATAATCATATATCTGACGAAGAGATCTCAAATATGATTACTCTGTTGTGAGACTTAATAGATCGTAATATCTCGAATTAAATTCTATTCCAGAGTTAAGATTAATTGCGCTTCTCATTGTTTCCAGAGCTTTCCGAGCACGATCAATATCCCATCAGTAAGAATAGAGGAGGATAAGGATCCAGATTATTCCGTTGGTAGCATCACAACCATCGACAGCCAACCTCCGGCTAAGCCATTTTCACGCAGGCCGACTCTGGCCAAGTTACACAATTTTACAACAATGACACCTCAGGAGATCGCACAATGGATTGATAAACGCAGCAGAATAGTATTTCCCATATCATTCATCATATTCAACATTCTCTATTGGTCTTTTATATGGATCTGAAATCGCGGCTATGTAATGAATTTCAGTCGAACCTCCCTATTCTTAGCCCAGACAGTCAAATCTGTTGAAAACAAATTTTACAAAGTATCTGTTGAAAACAGACTTTGCAATCAGAATGCCAGCAAGAACATAACAGAATCTGTTAAAATCATAGAATATGATGGTAGATTGACTATAGAAGTCAAGCAAAGTTTGTGTAAATTTAATAACTATTTAAATTATACAATCTATTTAAATGATAGATGTTACTTGGTTTCTGCTAGTAAATCATATGTTAATTCTGTTAAAACACGTGTTTAATGTGGATCAATCTGCAATATTCCGCTCAAATCAGATAACAAATTGCTAACATTTTGCTTGCTGCTCATTGGAACTAACTAAACTCTTATTATTCTTAGCATATCCTCTCAATTTTTTTTTCTTATTCTATTCCAAAGGCACATACATATAGAATGAAAATGTTTTTTGACCATGACTGCAATAATATTTTCACTTCCCACATGTACTGTGTGAAAAATAGCAAATATGAAGTAGTAGAAGGAGACAGCATACGAGATACGAACAATAAGATGCAGAAATTAAGAATGCTAAGAATAGAAAAGTTCAACTGAATGGTCTGAATGTAACTTGATAAATACGTTCTCTGCACAACGAAATTTGAAACGGCGAGAATGAAGATGGAATGGGACGATAAAATGCGACGGCACTAATAAAAACTATTGCGAATATAAAACTGCAATATTCTAAGAAATTTAATTGTGCGATAAAATTTTCAATTGCTGTAGAAGAATAGAGAATTTGTAGAACTTATTTAAATGGAACTATATATTGGATTTATATTTAAATTATAACACGCATATCTCAATTTTATTTTCTCGAAATATATGCAATTTTATATATATGTATTTATATATATGTATATGCGAATTAATTAAATTCAAATGAAAGGCAAAACACTGTGTATAAAAATTGCAGTTAACATATTTCCTATCGGCGTCGTCGATATATAATTTCTGTAAAACAGAATTAGAAAAGTAGAGCATCTTTTCCATCTTTTTCATGTAACATCTATATCAATATGCTAATTCTCATCACTATCGTAATTTATACAAAATTCTTTATAAGATAGATTGAAGGCATGTGATCATCATATACATATATATATATGATATACTTTTGTATATTAAATAATTTTATATTTTTTGGAGAGATTCTAATAACTTTGATACGATGTAAGTATAATTTTCGAAAGTTCTATTAAAATAATAGTTCTGCATACATCAAATATTAGTGCAACTGATATTCCTCAAGTTGTTAACAAAAATAGAGTAATTTAGTGGACACACGCACACACACACACACACACACACACACACACACACAAAGTTCAAAATTAATATTGTCATTAATTTCGTGTATTATATTTCATTAATTGCATATGTTTAGTAAAAGTTAAATTATATTAGGTCAAATTAAATAGAAATTAATTTTAAATTTGTAATAAATCTTTAACAATTAATAGAAATAATATTTCATACAAAAATTTCATATTTTCTATTATACATATCATATACATGATATTTTTAAAGTCTGTTTGTTCATTTTACGTTTTTATTGAAGCAGCTAAAAATAATTAATATGGAAAAACGCGTCAATACACGTATTTCTTTATTTTGAAAAACTAACCATTTTATCAAAAAAATTTTTGTATTGTTGTTTTATTTATTACAAAAAGAATTAAAAATGAGAAGTTAAAGCTAAGTTGTATCGCCAAAGTTATCAGAATCGTATATCTGTTTCTTTTATGTCACATTGTACAATCATGATATTTTTATTAAAGATAATGAATCACTAAAATCTTTAATGACGGTTTTCCTTCCTTTCTTTTTTTCCTCTTGAAACATTTTCTGTCTTCCTATAGCTGTGCGTGCGTGACGAGTGAGAAGATACAATCAATCTTGAAGAGATACTATCAGCGGTGCACGCGCGCGCGCGCGCGCGCGAGTTCACGGTAGCATGGCTATATATATATATGAGAAACGTGGAAACTTGAACGAAGGTCACTTTCGGTCGCTCGAGGGGTTGAGGACAGCTAATACTCACGTGTCACGCAATTTCCTTGCGTTAACATTTCTTCTATATCCTTGCAAAGCAATTAAACGACTGTAGAAATTCTTTTCGCCTATATCTACTCTTAAAATAACAGCAATTTTTATTTCTGTCTCCGTGCTTTTTCTGTTTTTTTTTTTCGTCGAAATATAGCGCTAAATTTTTACTGAACTTATATTAAATTCATCATTACGTCATCAAATAGTCCTGTAGTATTAATGCGCGTGCTATATTATAGAATAACGATTAGAGGTTTTCATATAATGTTTGTAAAATAACATTATGCAATATCTTGTGTGTAGTAAAAAGTTAAAAACTGACCGACCAACCTATAACTCGTTATTATTTGCGTCAGATTCTACTAGCGTTATCAATAATCCAAAAATACATCGTTATTTGGAGTCAGAGGTAGTAACCATTTTCCGCCGTCGTCGAGCCGCCGCGTATAATGTGTGTTCATTTAATGTTCCTCGTACCTAAATATCGATCGGCAATATCTGACCAGTTTACCAGCAGTGCTGACCTCGATGCTTAACTATGTCCAGCATTGATTACTTTCGTCGATAGAAAATGATAGTGGAACGGATAACCACATTCGTGCCGGAATAGGCACGGCCGCCTCACGTCCTTTTCATTTAGGATTCAAATAGTTTTTAAGTCTTAGGACCTATCTGCAAACAAACTTGCATAACTGCATAATCACATAATACATAAAGAAAATTATCCAATCGCATTTTACGTTCGTTCTTATAACAGAAATGCGATTGGATAATTTTTTTTTATATATACGATTATGCAATTATGCAAGTTTGCCTAGATAGGCCCTAAGACTAAAAACTATTTGAATCACGGCATTAAGAATTGCTGTAATAAAAATAGAACAATATATACCTAATGCGAATGTTAAAAAATTAATTTTCCAATGTCTAAGTCACGATAATAGCAAAATATTATTCTTGAAAATATTTATATATAATCTTTAAAATGTTGAGTATTTCTATAATCAAAATATTAAGACTTATTCTTTTCAAGCTCCTTTTTAATCTTTTACATCCTTATAGTGTACAATACTTTGGAGTTTTATATTATACTTTGCTTAGAAATAAGATGTTAAAATGTACATTTTATTTTAAAAATCAATTGCAAAATTGTAATAGAAGTTTTACTCCGTGTAAACTCATTTATATCTGTTTGGAAATTCTAAAACATTGTAAAAAAATAGAAAAAAAATGCGTAGAAAATGTACTAAAACTTTATTAAAATTTTTTTATGTTTTTTTCTGTCATACACGTATTAATTACAAAATACTATATATCGTATTTTTCGATTAATATTATCTTTAAAAGGAGTGATTATTAAAAATTATCCTTAACATTAAATCCTTTAGCGATTTCGGCTGGGATGCATCGATTACGCACATTTCGAGTATTGTGTATTCGGCTAGTCGAATGATGCAGTCCCTCGTCAGTGCTGCGTGTTCTTTTGGACTCGGTATGCCGCACAGGTGCATATTGAGCTCTCACAAATTACTCGGGGCCAGTTGGTGTAATTGCACCGGTACCAATTTACACCAGTTCTACACTGTGCACTAGTGGCACACTGATATAGACTGGTGCAGACTGAAATTTCTATTAAATACATATAAATCAATATTTACCGATAAATCAATATAAACCGATATTAATATTGATATGGATTGTGGAAATTGTAAAATTATTTTTTTTTCTCTTTCTCTTACTTTGATTTTACTTTGATTTTGAATAAGATATTAGAATTTTAAGATTAAAAGTAATGAACAATAAGATAATTATGATGGATGTAAAAATTAAAAATTAATAAAACGGTTTTTAATAAGATTTATAAAATTATTAATTTAAAAAATTTAATAGTAAAATACATTTAATCCATTATATTTGTACACATGCGCGTGCGCGTGTGTGCAAGTACAGTGTAGGATTGCATTTTTATAATTTTTATACCACGTAATATGTATATCGAAATATAAAATTATAAACAATTATAATTTCATTTTGAATTTAGATGAAATTATGAATTATTCAAAAACAAGTTATAAAAAAATCGATGTTTCTTTATGTGAGAGTAGGTAAGACCGGGGCTGGTTGATACATGGGGCACGTTGATACATTCAAAATTGCTGCAAAATGACAAACGGTAATATTATATAAAAAATATAGTGTTTCCGCAAAAATATTGCAGTCATGCTGCAATAAGATATTTTGGACTGAATAGCATATTTTCAGAAATAAAAAATAATTTCAGTTTTTGATAGCCAAAAGTAAAATAAATCGG